ATATTTCTACAGCCACGCTTCGAAACCTCAAAATCTCACCTTGAACGAAGCACCGAAACCTCACCGAACACCATCCACCAATTTTCTCAATCACACCACAACCCATATCAACCCAACTCCATAATCGAATTAAAAACCACGAGGATAATATTCCACCACACACCCCACCCCCTCAGACCACATCCAGACATTAGACGCAGAAAACTCCCGTCGTATAGCGAGGCGAACGACCGAATAAGCGAACAATGGCTTTCCGAAAAGAGATTGGGTCGGTCATGTCCACCGTTGTTTCGAGACTGACCCCGCAGGGATTGGTGATTCGGTTTTTATGCGCGAATCCTCTTGTTCAGGGGGATTGGTGAGAATCCGCTGGAGAGATCGGAATACAGGACGGGAATATTTCAAACTGTTTTGTGTGCTTGTTTTATCTCCAGTGATGATGATAATGATAATGATAATGATAATTTAATGATAATATAATAATATAATATAATAATATAATAATAATAAAATGATAGTGATGATGAAGATAGATTATAATAAAAATCATAATCAACGTAATAACCGTAATAGTAATAACAATGATTATGATCATGATAAGAATAATGATCATTATTATTATTATCAATATTATTATTAGCATTATCATTGTTATTATTATTATTGATATTATTATAATTATTATTATCATTATTATTATTCTTATCATCAATATCTATTCTTATCATCATTGTTACTATTATTGTCATTATAGTTATAGTTATTATCACTGTTATTATTATGATTATCATTATCATTATTATGATGATGATGATGATAATGCTGGTAGTAATAATAATGACAACGAAAATGATGGTAATAACAGTGATATTGATAATAACGATACTAATAATTATAATGATAATGATAGTAATAATGATGATGATGATAATAATAGTAATGATAATACTGATAATAATGATGATAATAATAGTAATCACAAAATTGATAATAATGATGATAATGATGATGGTGACGACGACGACGACGATGATCATGATAATAATAATAATGATAACAATAATAATAACAATAACAACACTACTACTAATAATAAGCGCTCAGAGAGCTTCACACTTGAAGACTTACAATAAAATCACCTCAAGTACACATAACCTCTTTGACGAAGGTAATAGAGGTAATGCTGATAATAATAGTTAACCTGCATATAGGGTTAACTGATGCAATCATTAAAAAAAATCCTGGATCCGCATCACCGCCAATTTTAACTATATCAATTATAAATTAGGCTAAGGCACACCTCTGGTATAAATTTCATAAAAATCTGTTCACAACTTTTTGAGTTATCTTGTTAACAAACGAACAGACAAGCTTACTAACCAACACTACCAAAAACATAACCTAACTGGCGGAGGTAATAATGGTAGAAATAATAATAATAGTAATGATAATTTCAACACTAATAATAAAGATAATTGTTTAAGTAATAATAATGATAATGATGATAATGATAATAATGATGAGAATAATGATAACAATTGTGGTTATAATAATAATAATAATAATAACAATAATAATAATGATAATGATAATAATAATAATAATAATAATAATAATAATAATGATAATAATGATAATAATAATAATAGTGATAACAATGATACCATTAATAGTAATAATAGTAAAGATAACGTTAATAACAACAGCATCTGCTCTAATATTGCAACAACAATCCCAAATAGCAATAAACCCACCAACAACATCAAAACAATAAAAAACACAACCAACCACTCAACAAACAACAAACAATACACGAACAACAAGCCACTCACAAACACCAAAACAAACACCCAAAAACAACAAACAATACACGAACAACAAGCCACACCAAACAACACCCAAAAAAACAACAACAAACACGAACAACAAGCCAACACCAAACAACACCCAAACAACAAACATACGAACAACATCCACTCACCAAAACACCAAAGCACAACAAACAACCCGACCAAAGCGCCCACCAGCGAGCGAACGAACGAGCGAGCGAGCGAAGCCAAGCCAAGCCAAGCCTCGGCAAGCCCCGCCGCCCTCGCCCGAACGCCTTCGCACGCGCCCGCCAAGCAAGTTATCAATGCCCTCCTTCCCTCCCCCCTCCCCCCTCCCTCCCTCCCCTCCGCGCAGAGATACAGAAGGGGATCTTCGAGGACGCCGGGGCCTCCGTCGCGCCCTCTCGCCCCTCAAGGAGCTGCCTAAAGACGGGTGGTCGGAGGAGCGGGTCCTGGAAGTCGCCGCCAACACGCTGGGGAAAGGTGAGCTGCGGGCGGGTGGGAGGGCCGGTGGGTGGATAGGTGGGTGGGTGGGTGGGTGGGTGGGTGGATGGGTGGGTGGGTGGGTGGGTGGTGGATAGGAGGGCGGGTGGCGGGTGGATGGGTGGGCGTGGATAGGTGGTGGGTGGAATAGGAGAGTTGTGGGTAGATGGGAGGGGCGGGTGGGTGAT